GAGGCCGCGGCGCGATGGCCATTGAGCGATGCCATTGCTTCGGGCTGAGGCCGCCCCCGGGGTCCCAGCGCCGCGCCCTCGTCCTCGCCGTGCGGTGCCAGTGCGGGGAGCAGTGTCCCCTGCCTGCTAGAGCAGGCCTGGCCATGGCTGCTGCGCTGGCATGGGGCCTGTGCGGGGGGCGGCTCCGTGTGGCCAGGGTGGCACCTTCTCTGGGGGGTGCCCCAGGCACCTCTCCGGTCCTGCCCACTGGGAGGAGCTAGCAGGTTGCCTGTTCCTTTTTCATTGGGTGATAAAGACCCCTTCCCGGTGCAGGGTGGGAATGCCCCCATGTGTGGAACTAGGAGGTCCTCGGCATGGATACTCAGTGCCTCCTGTGTCGCCCTCAGTCGAGGAAGATGCGTGTTGGCACCTATAGGTGCCAGCACGCATGCTGTACTCTGTGTTTAGGGAGGTGAGGTATGCTGCCCCCACCTCCTTTTACCCTTGCAAAGGCTGCACCGGGGAATTGATCTCTCGGCCTGTTGATAGCAAGGCATGATGCATTGCCAATACTGAAGATGTGCCGTTTGCTTGTGTTACATGTATGTCGACACATCTGTGTATGATCTCCCCCCCCCGCCCACCTGGCCCTGACGCACCTCATCCTCACACCAAGGACCTGGCATGCATCCTTTCCATCATGGCCGAGGACAAAAATGCGCATTCTCCTTCAGTAATTTGCATAGTGAGTTGAGTGCATACTCATTCAGCCCCACAGTATCCTGTGTTAGAAGCCTTTCCTCATGAAGCACTGATGTCAAAGTCCATACATATAAACCAAATTAATATATAGTTTTCTGGTAATCAGAAAAGATTAATTGCATCCTTTTGGGGAATGCCAAAGAGATAATTTAATTTCTGAGCATATGTGCAGTTCATATATTCTGTGCTGTCCAAGTTGTGGTCCGGTCCGGTCCGGTCTGGTTTGGAGTGTTAGGTGTCCAAGCCAATAAGGGGTGATGAAAGGAACTGGATGAACAGTGTGAATCCATTGAGTATACTGGACAAAGCGCGTGCTGTAACAAGTGTGGTGTCTGAAATAATTTTCCAGTGATGGGGGCAGGAGAAATTCTATTGAGAGCAAACAAAGCATTCACTATTCCAGGTTGTAGGATTTATGCAAAGACAACTTAATTTTGCTCTTGAATACTCCAGAAGAGATTGTAGGTTTTAGTGCATCTGATGAAATGGTAGCCGAGCTGTTTGTTATGTTGAAGGTTTTTAAAGTTAATTTAGGAAAAAATAAAATTTAGATTGTGTTCATGTCATGGAAAGAGTTAACATTTTAAACTCTCCAGCTGAAAGTTGCACTGTGCAATGCATTGTTGAAAACAGAAGATCCAAGATAAGAATATTTTTATTGCATATCCACAAGGGGGTAGTGATGCACTGTTGATTGCGGTGTAGGTGCTGGGTGATCTTGTTTTAAACACTTTAGATTTACAGATAAAGGTGGTGTATTTGCATTTTAACTTAATAAGATCTTTTAAACATGTTTATTGGGAAAATTCTGTAGAATTTAACATGCTGTTCCCTTATTTTGGGTGAATAGCCATTTATTCCCTTTTGAATGGTGGGATGCTTTTGCCACTGCTACAATTTACATATCCATATGTGGTTGTCAAGGCAGGCGTTCTAAATCTAAAGGGTTCCCTCTCTCCCTCCCCCTCCCCCATGTAGCATTTAGAACTTTGAGACATGCAGCCTGCAAGCCGGGGGGATAAAGCTGTGAACAGACTTCATGAAGTTGGTGTTGTGTTTCCAGTGAGAGGTGGAAAATGTAAATAGTTTACATAAAAAAGCCAAAGAGACAGCTCCAGCATATGTAATCAGTTTTCCTCTCTTTTGTTTTATTAAGAAAGTTTGCCAGAATCATTGTTTGAAAGCATATATTTGGCACCACATTGCAATATAAATAATATACATACCCCAAGTCTGAACTAGTTGCCAGTGATATCTAGCATATAGAGTTGAGGGCTGTCCAATGACTTTGAATGGAGAAGGAAAACAAGTAACTGTGTTAGAAGACTCCTGGGTATAATGGATTTTAGTACTGCAGCAAATGAAGGCATCAAGGAGAGTTAGGTCCATTATGCTATGGTCTAGGGACCTGCATTTCAGAGAGGGGGGAAATAAATTAATTGCCACTTTTCTATTTTAGGAAGTAGCTGGTACCAACTTCTTCCAAAGGTTAGTTTCAGACATTACGTTGCTGTGTTTAATTTAAATTCAGTATTAGGATAATTTTGATAATTCTGTTAATTGGAAGTTATGGAAAAAGGCATACTTTGCTCCCCTTACCTACCTTTGAACTTAGTCTCAAGTGCTAGGGGTAGGTAGAATTCTCTTTTCCTTTGACTAAGTTGTAGTCTTTCTAGCAGTATAGACGCATAGTCAGTGTGCACACCATGCATGTGGATGTCACTTCTCAGCCTCTTCTTGGCTCAGATAAAGTGTAAATGCACAGTTGGCTGGAGTGGCTGGGCACATGCATGTCGCCCTTGTGGATGTGTATTGGAGTCCAAGGACCTAAAACAGCCCGAAATGCCTAGGGGCTGTTAGACTTTGAAGGGGGAGGAGGGCTTGCTCCAGAAACTTCTCTGCAACAGTTTCCTCCATCCAATTAAATGGAAGGGGCAGAGGAGCACTGTAGGAGGTACTAGATCACACCTGACCTGTGGCTTGGTGCTTAGAGCACTGTAGTGGGAAGTCAGACACATGTGAATTCAAAGTCCTACTGAGGGAGGATGACCTAGAATTTGGGTATCTGGCTTCACAGGCAAGTGTCTTAACCACTTGGGTATTGGGGCTAATACATTGGAGTATCTTCCTCATCCTCCTTTTTGTTTCTGGGACTTACCCTTGTAGATGGGTGTGCATAGCCATCTATGCATACATGGTTGTGTCCAGGAAACAGAATTTTATTTGCCCACAAATGCCAAATATGTCACTTAGACACCTTAAATACTGTCACTGAGGTGACTAAAGGGAACTATCAAATGCCCCCCCCATGGTATCATTTCACTTCAGAGTCTTTAGCACGACTTCCTTCCTAAAGAAATCTCTGGGATCTGTCTTAAGTGGTAACCTGGCCACATGCTAATGCAGTTAATAGCTTGGTAAAATGGAATACGATGTATGTAATAACTGTGTGTGGCTGTTCCCCATTGCACCTCAAATTGAGTGTGTGGCCAGGCTGATTGTGTGGTAAGCTTACCTTTTTTATGATCATGGCTGCCATCTTTTTTCTACAGCTGAAGTGTTCTGCACAGCAGGGCCTCAAAGCCTGATCATAATATAAATAGTAACTGGTCATGGTGGACAACAGTATGTTGTCAGCTTCACCTCTTATTACTCTTCTTGATGCTCCTGAATCCATTACTTCTGTTTGTTGTGCTATGATCTGGAAAAGACTGTACTTGACTCTGCTGTCACTTATATTGTTGTAAATGATAAACTGTACTTTAGTAGTAGACTGTAAACAGTGTAAAACTTACACAGATGAGAGGCGAATATGGCCCTGTTCTGACTTCAGGTGAAAATGTTGTATTCAGTAAGCTTTGGTTCCATTTGTGAAAATTTGATTTCACTTGTCCCATTTGTGTAAATATAATTGAATGCTTATGTACTAGTGCACAGTAATGTTTTCCCACATAAAGCATTTAAACTTGTTTGTCGGACGTGACTTTTCAAGATAGGTAACTGATTTTTTTATAGCCTTTTTAAAGTCTTGCTTTTGTAGAAAGCTGATCCATGAGGACATTTTTGCAATTGTGTGTGTTGTGAGATCTGTTGTGAGGATTATCTTTTATGCCCTATGCATGACTCTTTCAGGTCTGTTGTTACAATTAAATGTTTTGCCTTAATCAGTCTCTGTTACATTCACTAACTTTATCTGAGTAGAATCCATGCAATATAATTTAAATTGCACTGAACAATCCAATGCAGAAGCCCGTATGATTCTCAGCTGTTCAACAACAACTGTGTTCTAATAGTAAATACTCGAGTGCTTCATTGAGTTGACCTGCTCAGTAATATATTTTTAAGGACTGAAGTTATGAAATGTTCATTTCATAAATGCATTAAACTTAAACATTGCTTGTCAGAAGTTTATATTTGAGCTGTTTAAAACCTGATTGCATAAAGACCAAGTATTTCAGAAATAGTGCTGGCAGCCTGATCGCATAGTCCTAGCCTTCTGATGCTGTTCCTTTCTCTAACTTCTACATTTTTAAAGGCTATATGTTAAATTAGCTTGTATGCAAAAGTGGGCCTGCTGACCTCCCAGACCTGAGATACCAGCTGTGTGTGCAAGCTTCCCCACACCATGTTAACTCTGAAGGGACCATCTGGCCTAGGTCAGAGGGCATTTCATTTCACACACCATTATTATTTTAAGATTCATGG